CCCGCCGAGCGCTCGCGGCACAAGCCGGTACCACGCAACTTGACACGGGTGGGACTGGAGATACGGCGGTCTCCGCGGCCCGGCTCAACAGATGGGCAACAGGCTCCGCTGGGCCTTCGACGCCGGCGACGCGTGGTGAGCGACACATCTTTTGCTGGTCGGGCGCTTCGGGGCAGGGCAGGGCGTCATGGGTCGCGGGGCGTCGCGGCGCCCGGGCGGGCCTCGGGGCGGGCGGCCTGCGTTGTATCGGACAGCAATCAAAGAGAGGTGGCAGCTCCTCAGTGTATTATCATCAGATAGTCGGGGCTGAGGTGGCGGCGCGGCCGGCCCTTCAGTGTGGCACCATGCACCGCCAGCGCCCCATCGCCGCGGTCCTTCTCGTGCTCGCGGCCCTCGCCGGTATGAGCGACTGTTATTGCACCGTGTCGTCTGTCTCTGTCGCACTCGGTCGGCGGGCACCTCGGTCGCGGACTGAGCGCGAGAGATGGCAGACTCCGGCAAAAGACTACAGAAAGTGTCCCATCTCTGTAGTCTCTTGATGCCGGGAGCGTAACACGTCACAGGTGCGGCGTGGATAGACAACCCTTATTGGGACCCACCCCATGCCCCGTGCACCGTGCACCGTGGACCCGTCACGCCGTCGCAGTCACCGGGCGTCGCATTCGCCCCGTCCCGACCCCGGTCTCTCACAGTAGCTCCCGCCATCGCGGAGGAGGTCCGTGATGTATCACGCCGCGCCCTCAGCGTGACACTTCGAGCTCGCGGCCGCGGCGTCACGTGACACGTCGCGGATCACCCCCACGACCGCTCATTTCCCCACTAGAACGTGGAATCGCGGGTCCGCCTACAACTGTACGAGACGGTGCAAAGGCGACGCCCTGTATACGTAGTAGTTAAAACGCTTCTCGATCGATGGCGCTCTCCTCTGTGCTTCCAGGGACGCACGCCGCGAGCCTCTCGCCGTCGTCGGACATCCAGCCGTACATTTCGGGTGGGACTTTGTCCAACAATGGTAAGAGATGTTTTACTCCGTCTCCGTTTTGTCGTCCAATTTTGTGACACTGGAATTGTAGTAGCACCCGTTTAACAATTTCAGGCCGACTTAGGTACGTTGTTGAGATCATCAAAGCCGTGAAAACGGGAGATCTTTTCAAAGAGCACCTGGGGGAGGGGGCTCTACTGACCACTGACTGGGTGCTCACCACGGCGGCTGCCGCGCCGGACCTTTCTTGGGCAGAGTCTTTGCTAAAGCACGTGCTCGTGAGTACTTGGTCGCCGGCGCTCGCGTCTGCAGTCGGCGATGGTGCCGAGGACGCCCTCACCGACGCGTATTCTCTATGGTGTCGTGCAGGTGGTCGTCGGACGAGCCGACGGAAGCGACGGCGTCGATGTGGAAATTGACGACAAGAAGAGCGTGGTCGAGCCGAACAACAAGATTCTGAAGCTGCTGAAGCTGAAGGAACCGGTCGTGTTGGGCGCCTTGATCAAACCCGCAAACCTGCCATCTTTTGCCACCGACAGTACAGGTAGTGCCTCGGACATCCTGGCCAACAGGACTCTGTGCCAACAGTAGGCTCCCTATCGCCTCGATCCGAGATAACGCCACAGCTGTTTCTTTTTCGCGCTCCTTCGTTACTGACCTATTCGCGGTGCGCGCGTGGCAGGACTCGGCGCCATCCTGGCGGGCTGGGGGAAGGACCGGAAGGCATTGAACGCCGTCGACGTGAAAGTGTTCTCCAAGGAGCAGTGCACCGCTGACGGCGTCACCGTCGCGGACGATGAGATCTGCACCTCGGCCGAGGGCAACGCCTGCAAGGTACGGCTGGCCCTAGGGCTGCCAGGGTGCGAGTAAGTACAGCAACATATGTGCTGGTAGCTGAACACGACCTCCCCGACCTGCGCAGGGGGACGACGGCGCGCCGCTCGCCATCGACCGCAACACGGGGGCGTTCAGGCTGGTTGGCCTCGCCACCGGCGCGGACAAGCAGAGCGACAAGTGCGACCAGCGCAGCGTGTACGTCAACGTGGCCAAGTACACCAAGTGGCTGCTGACCGAGATGTACCCGTGACGGGGCCGAGCAGGCCAGCGCGTCAAATAAATAAAAAATACCTGCAATATTTTTAGTTTTTTTTTTGTGTGTGAAAAATATTTCTGTTTAAGAAGCGATCGCTACTCTATCCCCTTTCGGCAGAGACAGAGAAGGAATGGGACGGGGAGGGAGGGAGGGGTATGAACGAAATAAGGGGTGGCGATTGAAGGCTGTCCAGTCCTCGCCCAGACAGCCCCAACGTAGCCTGTCAGTGTTACCCACCATAAGGCACGAGGCTCCGGTCCACTGTTGCGTGCTATCGGAAAGCGGAAATATAGACAAGTTGACACAGAATCAGAATCAGACCTTCCATACCGCACTGACGACCTGACTGTGCACCCGCGCGAGCTCGCACCGGACGCTGCACGGCTGCTGATTGGGTGGCCTACCCACGAGGCGTCCGGGAGAGGACGAGAACGAGCGCGCACCGTGCGGGCACGGCAGGCTCTTTCGGCGTATGGAACGGGACGGCAGCCGGGTATAGTGTGGTGGTCGACTTGTAAAAAAAAAACGTGGTTAAGAACAGAACACCACGGAAACCTTCCGTAGTCAACAACAGAAAGATCAGGGATCGTCCGGGTTAATTAACACACTGGTCCTAAAAAAAATAGCGGGTCATTTTTTTGTGGCTTGATCTGGTGAATATAGGCAAAGCCCGGCCGCAGTCGTGCGTGCAGTCATGGTGCAGTACAGCATAACTACAGAAGTGAGAGGGGTTAGCCAAGCCACCTCGAGCACCTCACCTGGTATGTAGTAGAGCTAGAAAAATAAAATTTGGCACACAGACACAGCCTCTGATGTGTGTCTACTTGACGATCCTGAAAGGTCAAGTGCGCAAGGGGGAGAGATTGAAAAGAGTATCGACGATTTCGGGTAGAAGGGGCGAGAGAAGGAGGTCGTGAAATCGCACTCCATTTTGTGTGCGGACTATCCGCGACCCCTCCTAGATGTTTCCGAAGCTCCTGGGGACCACCTCCTACGTGCTTGTCAATGAGAGAGACCCCGGGGATAGAGCACCCCTACACGTCGAGCCTCTTTCCAAAAAGTCAACTTTTAACAATGCTAATGGGCTTGAAGTGCGGAAAAAAGTTGCTGTCAGAGAGTTTGGACGATACGAAACTTGTTCCCGACGCCGGATTAGCTGATTTTCCCAAACCACCCCTTTGGTGGAAGTAGCCAGCCACCCCATTTGCACTTACATCCCACAGCGGGTACTGGTGGCGCAACGCTTCAAATGCAACTTAGGGGGCATTATGAAGTGCCTTTGATCAAAATTTGAACGCGACAGGACGTCCCGTTCACCCGCTGCTGACGTAAAAGACGAAAATTGAACAAAACCCAACCCCAATTTCTCGCCCACCTCACGGCCGAAGGGGGTGGAATCTGACCATTTCGCCAAAGGTCACAGAAGAGCACGACCTTCATCTGTTTGCGTGTACTGGCTGAGTGCGATACCCGGCCCCGCGTCTCCGACCTCTGCGTCTGCGTTGGATGTTCAAAACTCCTGCAAAATGGTCAGCAAACACTTCCCCCAAGCTCACAGGCACCGCCGCGCCGGGGGTCATCCCTTGCGCGCCTTCGCGTCTAGCTCCTGCCTCACCGCCTTCCCTTGTGCCTTTCAACACGCGGAGAATATCTTCCGGAAGGGAGACAGAGAAAGAAGAAAGCAAGAAGCAAGGCAAGGAGGAAGGCGGCAAGCGTGCTCTGGACCCTGTGAACACCAGCAACTTAACCTGATCCCGAGTGTTTAGCCAAATTTAAATAGCGTTGTTGCCGTGTGTATCCCTCTTGTATAACGGAAGAGACTAAAACCATACTTGTCGTCGCCGAACGGGCATCTGCAGCAGAGTAAGTCAAAGTGGTTTTCCAGACATGCAGTAGTCCTATCAGTATATTAGTCATATATTTTGGTTATGATGCATTTTAAAGTAATTTTACATTTATTTTAAGATCTTTTACTTTGCTGCCACCAGCTAACCTACATTGTATTTGCATAATCACAATCATAACCCTGATTTGTTGTTGCAGATGAAACCGAAGTGTTGCATTTGCTTCCTGAACTATGACATGGACAACTACCGTCCCAAATGCTTACCCTGTGGCCATACTATTTGTCAAGATTGTGTGTTGAATCCTGCCTTGGAGAGAAAGTGCCCAACGTGCAAGAAGGTTAGTACACGTCCATTAGTCCAGATAGGTTTCTATTCCTTGGTGCTCAGTTTTAGAAGTAACATGATAATTTACAACAACATTTTTTTTTATCAAGCATTAGAGTACTATTGTTTGTTGTCCAAAGATAGTATCACTTTAAAGTTTATTACATTTTAGTTTGTGAATATACTTCACTCTTACTGAACCGCAGTTGTGATTTTATTGAACGGTTAACCGATAATACCTACATAATATGACTGTTAATATTGAAAAGATGACTGACCTCTGACCAAAGGAGAGGATTAAATTTATAGTTTAATAGAAAACGTTTCAACATTCTTTTATGAAGTACAAAGCCTGCATTTCTGTCACTCATCTTTGAGATTGCTTGCAATAAAATGTTTGAAATTATTAGCGTTTTTATAGGTATTTAATCAGTAGCTTCATTACCTACTTACAGGACGTAACCTGTGACCCAAGCGACCTCCCTGATAACTTTCTCGTGATCCAAATGATGGAGGATGAAGACTCACAATCCTGCAAGAACTCTAGGACCGAGGACCCAGTGCTGGAGCAGCTGCAGCGGGGCGCGGACGCGGGGCGGAAGGTGGTGGAGATGCTGCGGCTGGTGGTGCCTCAGGCGGTCGAGGTGCTGAACCGCCAGCTGGAGTCGTCGTTCGCCCAGCTCGGCCAGGTGGAGAAAGCCCTGGAGAGGCGGGTGCAGCGGGAGGCGGCCGGCGATGTGGGCACCCCGTCGGACGCCGTGGAGGAGCCGCTGCAGCTGGCGGAGCAGCTGGAGGCCAGCCACCGCCTGCTCACCTCCACCAAGTGCACCGTCACTGCCGAGGAGGAGGGTGGCTCGTCCTGGACGGCCTCTGTGCAGCCCGGCGGGTGCGGCGACATGCTGCGCGTCCTGCTGCTGCAGCTGCGGGCGGACGGCCAGCTGGGAGAGGTGAGTCACCAAGCAGGTGGGCGGTGCTCACGTTGGTGTTGACGAGGTCCTTATCTACTCTATCTCACCAGGTTGACGACGACGCCACCGTTCTTGCCACCCCTGCCTCAGCTTACGTGGGACCGCCGTCGTTTTCCGCCCTCTCGATAAGTGAACACGTCTCCGGTGGTCGTTTAAACGTGAACGAAATTCTTCAAACCGCCGAGGAGCAATGGGACGTTCCTCGCAGCCTGCTGGACTTGCAGGGCGAGGGCGCTGACGACCTGCTACGTGTCGTTGGGGCGAACATCGTGGAGCTGAAGATCTCTGGTGATGCTGAGCCGAAAGTCATGGTTGAGGTGGAGAAATTATCGGCACTCAAGTATCTGGAGGTAGCATGCGCCGAGGGCCGCGAGTACCCGGATCTGCCGTTGCAGCTGGAGGAGCTCGACATATGTAATATAACCGAGAATCAGCTGCGTTGTGTCCAGCGCATGCCCGGGCTGAGCAGCTTGCAGATACACAGTTACCATGGTCCGAACATGACTCTCCCCCCCTCGCAGTATGGCAGGCTGCTGTGGCTCGGCGTGACCTTCGATACTGACCACAAGTCGACCATGCTGTCACTTATCCGCGCCAATGCCTCCTCTCTGCGGGAACTCCATGTTTGCTGTGCCCCCTGTGCCGAAACTGACACGGAGTATTACTTCCCCGATCTGGGCCAGGAGCTCGCGCCACTGGGCTTGCGAGTGCTGCGGCGCCTCGTCCTTGCACGTCCTGAGGCATCCTGGGCCTCACACCCTTTCGCTAAATGTGTGCTGCAGCGGCGAGCTGTTCAAAGCTTTTTCCCCAAGTCTGTTGAAGTGGTTTGCGGGTTTTGTCACACACCGGCATTATTCTAGCTTAATGACCTTAATAGGTCTTGTTCCTTGCATACTGAAATGATATCCTGTACTAACTGGAAGATATGTTAAGCACCCACCTCCATAAGGAGAATTTTTTAAAAACTGTTTTAGAATTGTCACTATGCCATTGTAAGCCCTCAGCACATTATTGAAGTCCAATCTTCTAAAAATAAATTTTTAAAAGGTTGAATTTTCTAGCGTTAATGATTTATTACACACCATATGTTTACCTATGAAGTGAGTGCGCAGCCATACCGATTAGAGGGGATCGGTCGACCATAGTCCCTGGCTGGGGTCAGTTGTGCTCCCTCGTGTGTCTTCGAGATCGGCCCACTACGGTTGACGCGAGTCAGACTCAGCTCGGAAAGCTCCTGCCCAGGCAGTTCCCTCCAACTTGTGCAGTGCATACCCGTTTGAGCCACAGGGGCCATGGCGTTGAATGAACACCTTCAATATTTTTCGCGTTTAGATTACCGGGAAACATATTTCAGTTTGAGAAGCACTACCCTTTTTCGGCCGAGAGGAGGGATGGAATGGGGAGGAAGGGTATACAGAAAAGAGGGGGGGGGGGGCGATTGAGGGCTGCCAATAACTACTAGCTTAGTATCTTAACGGCTTCCAGGCCAGTAATCGTGCAGTCCTCGTCCAAAACAGCCCGAACGCGGCCTGTCAGCCAACTCGTAGCACCGGTGCTCGGCTCGACCTTTCTTATTTTCGAACCGAGTGCGATTTGGTAAGCACACAAAGACTGTTCGAAACGACAGCAAACCTGCCTGTCGGGTCGGGTCAATGAAATATACAGATTACAATTGCTTCGTCGCACAGCTTCCGCGCTCGCTCTATCTAGCGCCGCAGCGCAAGCTGCTGCTACTCACGTCTGCAGAATGGGTGGCCTACCCAGGAGGCGCTGAGGGGGGGGGGGGCGGCCCACGTCGCGGAAGCTCCGGGCGCTGCTCTTCGACCTCGCCCTCGAGAGAGAGTCGCGACCGGTTTGTTGTATAGATGAGAGGACTCCCCTCCGGCCGAGGAGGGGCACTTCACCGTCGTTGGGGATGAGTCCGCTGTTTTGAGACTCGTCGAATACGGCGCGGCCATGGACGGGAGCTCGGTGATCCGACCCCCGCACGTGAAGTGGGCCTCGACTTCGAGGTGCTCCAGCCCGACACCACCGTCTCCACCGCGGTGTCCCCGGGAGCCCGGCCGTGGAGACGCAGAGTGAGGCTCCTGAGTCGGCCCAGCACGGCCTGCGGGCGGACGAGCTCGAGGGTGTCGGCCGCGGCGGCGGCGTCCTCGCACACGGACACACCCAGCTCTTCCACGGCGCACCGGACGGGGAAGGCCGCCCGTCGACACGGCGCCGGCCGCGGCGTCAGGTACTCGCCCAGCGCGTGGAGGCGAGGCGCGAAGCGCAGCACGGGACACACACACTTGTTGGTGTCGGCGGGGAGCCGGTCGAGGCCCAGCCGGTGATGTGCCCACGCGTCCGGGCGCAGGGCCGCGGCCAGGGTTGCCAGGTCCGGAGTGAGTCAAGTCGCCAGAAGAGGGCGCTTGGAGTCGCCAATCGTCGCCAGCCGCTCAAGTCTCCAAAAATCGCCCGCCAAAGATTCAAATCGCCAAAAATCGCCAACCTTTTCGCGGGATAGCCAAAAAAGTGGCAAGGTAAAAATGAACTCGGGTAGCCCCCAAGAGTAACCACGTGTGACAATGTGGTGAGGTGCTGGTCCTTGTTTTTAGAGATTCGTCTCCCCCGGGCTGGGAAAGTACCCAAACCCTTCGTAATCCTCGCTTCCGTGGGGTCAGGTAGCCCGAGTCGCCCCCGTTGCCGGTTGTCGACCGATGAGGCGCAAGTGCAGTTGGTGATTTTCCCCTCCCCTCCGCTGCCCCCCACCCTTCGTAATCCTCGCTTCCGTGGGGTCAGGTAGCCCGAGTCGCCCCCGTTGCCGGTTGTCGACCGATGAGGCGCAAATGCAGTTGGTGATTTTCCCCTCCCCTCCGCTGCCCCCCACCCCTCCCCCTCCTCGCCGCGAGTACGCCAAGCACACGCACTCGCACTAGTCGCTAGTCGGAGTCGGAAGAAAGTAGTCCTGTGCCATCCAGGGAGTCGCACGCGCACGGAGTGTGACTTCGACCCACCCGACTCCTGGGTTTCTCCTACTTGGCGCAGCACGGACGCTCTGACGGCTGCTTCCGCCTGCAGGACGAAGTGACTCACTGCAGGCCGAGGAGCAGATAATCGTTTCGAGAGCTCCGCGTGGACTGTCAACAACAAGGTTTGCTTCTAGGCAAAGGTTACGATCAGCGGACATCGCAGAGTTCACTGATAAACCAAGTGTTCAACTGCTCAGCACTTGTAAGTGTGCAACTCCTCTGTTGAACACTTCCCTCACAGTAAGCGCCCGATCTAGTGAAGTGTACAACAGGAGAGTTGAACACTTAAAAGTGCACAAATACCGAGTTTAACTCTTGCAAGTGTACTACTACTGAATTGAACACTTGCAAGTATTGAACTTGTGGTTGCACACTTGCAAGTGTTGAGCAGTTGTACACTTGGTTTATCAGTGTGGCGGGTTTGCATACCCTCTTGGGCATGGTGCCTTACGGGCGGGGGGAGTACGCAAACCCGCAACACTTTGTTTTCGCTCTGATACACCCGGCCCGGCACCCGAACTAACAAAATTAGTGCCAAAACCTCCCTGTTTTGGCCTGTTTTAGTGTTCGCATAATCAGCAGAGCTCTGCAAAATCGCATTTTCGACCGACCGGGCCGCGGTCGGTACCTACCGGCTGCACGGTGAGAGGTGAGGAGGGGAGATAGCCAGGGAGCTCCTCTCCTCACCTCTCACCTCTCACCGTGCAGCCGGTCGGTACCGACCGCTGCCCGGTCGGCTCGGTCGGTCGAAAATGCGATTTTGCAGAGCTCTGATAATCAGCCTGTTTGTGTCCTTGCAGACCATGGAGCATCTGCCGGACGACGTGCTGGCGATGGTGATGCAGTACCTTGGCGTGCACGACCTCCTCGCCTGCCGCCTCGTGAGCAAGAGGGTCGGGGCGCTGGCCCTGCACCCGGACGCGTGGCGCCACCGGAGGCTGGGCTTGGGCTCAGCCCGCGACTTCGACATCAACTTTGACGACAACCGGTGTCTGTGCCCGGTGCTGCGCCTGGCCCCGTGCGTAGCCGTGCTGGCTCGGTACCTGACTCGACGGCACCTACCCTGTCGCCTGGCGGACGACTCGATGAGGTGCGCCGCCGAGGAGATATGGATCAACGTGCGGAAGGACATTTCTTCGGACGTCTTCGAGCTGATCCGCCGGCAGGGAGAGCTCGGCCGGCTCAAAGTGATTTCGATGAACCTTATCGGTGACGCACCCGTCGCCGCGGCCATGGAGGCGGTGCTGTCAGTGAAGGGGCTGAAAGGACTCAAAGTCATGACCATCCGACTCCCAGGACGGGAACTCGACGAGATCCCGGCGATGGCAACCCCTTCGCTGCACACCCTGAAGCATTTTGATTTCCGCCTGGGTCCCGAGTCGGAGCGCTTCGTGAACTCCATTCTATCAGAGCATGCCACCACCATCGAGAAAGTCGCCCTCGATGGCTACCTATCGAGCGATCTGTCGTTGACCTCCACGGCGCCGCTGCTCGCCACCATGACGCGCCTGCGCGAGTTGAGGTGCCCAGCCCTCCCCGGGCTGGAGGCCGTGGCCGCCTGCGAGTCGCTCCGGACCCTGCGCCTTTCCGTCTGCTCCGAGAGTGGGCACC